ACCTATAAGTCTTTATGTACTAGTTTCAAGTGCTTAACCTTTTTTTGAAGTTCTCATACTACAGTTGAAACTAGGAGCAGCTCTGTTTTTAGCCGTGCGACGTAATGTCGTTAGGAATTAATCACCTCAACCGTAGTCCGTTGGGTTACTAGAACATGGAACTTATGCTCTGGTTCTTTTGCGTCCGCATATAATGGGCGTTATAAAGCCAAGAAAAACGGAGTTGACGAGATGTGGGGTGGCCTCGAATGACAAGCACAGCTAGCCATTAGTGACAAGAAGAAAGCGCGTCCGAGTGTCAAGTAGCCGTCGCCGCCGCAGGTACTTTTTACCCGAGGCTCATGGGTCTCAAGAGGCACGCTTGTTCTCAGCGCGCCGAACAGCTGAAGAACAACCTGCTCGGGGACAAATCGCTTTGCACTACCAACTCCCGGAGACAGCACAGGGATTTAAACTCGTCAAATAGCCTGCTCGGGGATTTACGAAAAGTTTTGCTCTTTAGAGCTCCGGCTCGGTACTTTTGGCTGCTAGTGGCACCAAGGACGGGTAATTTCTGTAGTAGGCCACGAATTTGAGTCAAATACAATAGGCAGAAAGGTTACGACTGACGTTTCTTCAGTTGCGCCTTCTCCACAGCCCGGAATAGTGGACGACGCGAAATTTTCACTTGTCTAAAGGGTTTTTGGCACCCAGTAGTCAACAGTGCCAAGAACAGTGTCGTGAAAAACCAGCGCGGCGCTAGCCGCAAACTCCGCCCTCTTCTTGAAGAGGGACGATAACCAAAAACCTCTACCCAAGGGTATACTTGGGAGTTTTCTATCGCAAGGACTAAATACTATATATTTTTATCCACCTGAAGGTGAGTTCAATAACCCGGCGATATTTTAGGGTCGTCGGAGTCTCGAAACTGGGCATTTGGTTCATCAACACCACGAGATCTTGCACACATGACAGCAATCTCGACGGCACAACGAGTCTACGACGCTAAATCGCCAAAGAAAAGCGTTACTTCACCCGAGTTCGCCACACCGGTACATAAACGAAGCACAACTGGTGAGTAGCGCTTTTTTCAGGGGTGCTAACTTAGTTTAG